GCGGGAACGACACGATGGGGGTGAACGAACGCCCCGCGGCGCGGGAAAAAGAAAGAAATAACGAGAGCAATAGTCACCCCCTCTCGGGTTCTCCTGGACCGCGGGGGGGCTGGCGGCGCGGGGAGATCTAGGCTTTAGCAGTTGGGGGAAGTAAGTGGAGTTGGAGGAGCTTGACGGGGAGAAGGGAGGTTGGGGGCAGCCTGCATGCAATTACTGTGGTTAACACGGCATGTGTGTGTGTGTGTGTGTGTGTGTGTGTGTGTGTGTGTGCGCGCGCCACGGCGATGTAGCCGCGAGCAGCACCTCCCCACACAGAGGGGGGAGGGGGGGGGGGACAAGGTGACAGTGGTGGACGTCGCGAGTTGGAGAGAGAGCCACTCCAAGCTGAGGGCTCCATCACCAGATGGAAGAAAAAGAGAAAAAAAAAAGGATCAGTGCCTGTCCGCCTGTCACTATGTGTGCGTGCGTGCGCGACCAGCAGCTCTACTCGCTTGCACATCGCGCGCACGCCTCTCGTCGTCGAGCAGCCACCTCGCAACTTTTCTTTCTCTTAAGAAAAGAAAAAAAATAGTGAAAAGAGAGAAAGAGGGAGGAAAACAGAGACGTGCCACACGGTGCTGTGCGGCGAATATTGACGTTCGTCGTCATTCTCCTGCGCACCGCTCATCATTGCGAAGAGAGGAGCGGCGGAGGTGGAGAGAAATACGTGGAAAACAGAAAGAAAGTAGGTCGGAAAATCACAGTCTCTAAGGAAGCACGCTGTGTGAATGAGCTCGTCGTTTCAGAGGTATGGCGCGATGTTAGATTTGGGGAACCGCACTACCACTACCGAAGTTTGTGTGAGCAGGTTTTGTACGTTTTCAACGAAAAAGCATTCGGGACATTCCTTTTTCTTTGTACCGCGAAAACCTGCTCACAAAACATTAAACGTTTTTTTTGTTTCCGGTAGTGTACTTACCCATCTCGCAGCCCTCGCCCTTCCAGCCGGCCTGGCACTCGCAGCGGCCGGACACGCAGCGCCCGCGGCCCGAGCAGTCCGCCACCTGGCAGTCGCGCGCCGGCACGTCGCACTCGGCGCCCTTCCAGCCGCCCTCGCAGTGACACATGCCGCCGCCGTACTTGCCGTGGTTGGAGCACAGCACCGGGCACACACCTGCAACAACGGAGAACAACACGCATTAGTACAAAGCAGTCCGCACAAGTGAAAAGGAAAACATTCAGAAATTTGTGCAGTGTGAAAAATCGTCAGTACGGTCTGATTTTGAAGAAGAATTAATTCTTAGTAAGAATAATTTCGAACAGGTTACTTCCTTATTCTTTTGGCACTTTTTGCGACGATTAAAAATGGGTGTGTCATTTAGATCATCTTTTGTAAACTGTTAATAATTAAATAAAATATTTTTC